GGGGGGGGGGGAGGAGAAAGAGGAAAATGGGGGCAAGAAAAAATCCTTGCTATTTTTTCCCAAAGAATTGAATTGAGTCCATCTCTCCCCGAAGTGAAATACGGGGATTCGTGGCGTTTCTTCATCCCCATTCGGACCGCATGTATTGGTACAGATGTGTGTGTATATATTTATACAAAGTGTTTGCTTTGTCGGTTGTTCGGTGCGTTGTTTTTTTTTTCTTCTCCTCCGGGGTGTGTGGATCATAAAACGGGGTTTAATAACACGAATCTGCAGTCGGTGGCTTTTATTTCAGCCGAGGACTCGGAGCTGCGTTGGATGCGGTTGGGGGCATCGGGGAATGGTTCCCTTCGTGAGTTTGGGGCAGAAATCCGCCTTTTTGGAGAGTTTCCTTGGAATATCCATCGCGTCGGCTCTTAACGGCGGAGATGGACCCAAAAAGTCGCGTTCTCCAGGAACGTTCACCTGGAACGCTGTGCTCGGCCCTGGATTTCTGTGGGTTTGTTTGCTTTTAAAGGGAGGTGACAGCGAAGGTAAGGGAGAATTGAACGGCTGGGAGGGGAGAAAAGTGCCTGAAAACCCAACAGAGGAGACGAGCCGCAGTTCGCAAAGCGCAGCAGCGCGGGGATGGGGCTGAATCTTCTTCTTTCCAGTTCCAGATCGGGAATTAAAAAGGAATCAATGAACGCAATGAATGAACGCCGCGATTTTCTCCGGATCTTTTCCTTCCTTCGGCCCCGACACAACGCGGTACAGAAAGGGGATGGGAGAGGACGGAGCCGGCGGTGCCTTCGTCACATAAAAGGGGGAAATTCAGCCCTTTTTCTTCTCCGATCCATCGGAACGCTGAGATGGAACCGCTGCCCTTGGAAATATCCACAGCAAACGTCGCTCGGAGCGCAAAACCGCGCCCAGGGCGAGAAGGAGGAACAGCAAAGTCAATGTGGTTTCATCAGATTCTATTTTCCCCTCCCGTTTTCCCTGATTAAAAAGAAAAAAAGAACCCCAAAAACCGTGATGAGCGACGCCCGGTTTTGGCATCTGCTAAAAACGCACCGTCGGAGGAATGCGATCGATTCCAGCAAACCTTGCAGGGAAATAAAAAGGCAGAAAGGCGAAGCCATCAACCAACCCCAACCCGCGGCCGGTTTCTCACATCTGCTCTGATTTCCCCCCGTTTCCAGTCGCTCCTTTCCCTCTTCCCGTTCTCTATTAACGGGTTCTGCTCGGCGCAGACGTCGCGACGTGGGGTCCACAAAACGCCAGGAGAGCTCCGAAATGAACGGAAAAAAGCGAAGGAAAAAAAAAAGGAATAAAGAGCTGTTTGGGTTTTTTTTTTTTCCCTAATTATTATTATGATTATTTCCACTAAAATCCCGAATTTCGGCGCCGAGGGGCAAAGCTCCGCTTCAGTTCCGTTCTCCCTCCTCCCCACAACCGCCGCTCCACACGCGATTTCCAACCTCCGTTACCCATCACCTCCGGCAAAACCTTTTCCCTTCGTCTTTTCACCGAGGGACCCGAGCGAAAAATTCACCCCGAATTCAAGCCATCCTTCAACGCCATCCGGACCGGATCTCCTCTCCTCGGAGCTGTTGGAGGGTCGGGTTGAGGTTGGCTTTCATTCCTCGCTCTGCTGAAGGCTCCGAGCGCGGCCGGGCTGCTCCTCTCGTTGCGCTCATCGTAAATCTTTACATTTTTAACATTTAATCCCTTCCCCGCGCATCGCGGGTAGGACATATGCTGCGAAATGTTAACTACTTCATAAAATCACCCGCATCGGGAGGGAGGAAGGGGGGGGGGTTGGGGGGTGAAGAGCAAACGGCTGTTGGGGATGGGGATTTTGGGGGGGGGGGGGGGGGGGGAGAGGAATGGAGGAATGGAGCGGCGCAGCCCCGACGGGGCGGACGAAGGGCAGACGGCTTTCATTTAAACGTTCGCATCGTTTCTGCTTTCTCCCATTCGCGTTTTGTGGTTGGGGTCCTGTTTAAAGGGGGGAGGGGGTTCGGTGGGAATCTTAATCCCCGCGATTGCTGGGTGAAATCAAATCTCTTTGTGGCACCCGAAGGCTCGGTGCGCTCCTAGGGTTGGGTATTTTCGGGATGATTACGATTTCCAAACCACCCCCCGCCGCCAACCCCCCAAAAGCAGCCGCTCGGAATGACGACGTCCTTCAGCCGCTGTCCCCATCCCGGCCCCGGAAGCCTCTCGGATTCCCTCACCTTGAACTTGGACTTTGAGATGCCCCAAATCGCTCCTCGACGGCTCCAGCAGCTGGGGAGGTAATGAGGAGCGCCTCCTCCCCTTATGACGGGGCTGGGAGCTTCCCTCCTCTCCAGGATTTGGGAGGATTTGTTGGGTTTTTGGGGTCTTTTTCAGCCTTTTTTTTTTTGGAGAGGTCGGTGAACCTGCAGGGGGGAATCACCCCCAAAAGCAGCAGCAGAGAGATGGGGGATTTGTGGGGACACACGGACATAAAGGGGGTCCTGAGTGGGACGAAGGGCAGCGCACCTCGCGGGGGCTCGGGGACACGCAGGAACCACCTGAGATCCCCACTGCCTCCAAACAACGTTGTTTTCTCTCGGGGGGGAAGGGGGGGCACAGCACACCAGCACACATTTGCCTCTTACCGGTTCGAGCACCACGTTCCTGTAAATGCACCTCTATATATTTTCCACTTTTTTTCCCCTCTTCTTCTATTTGGTTGGAGTGCTGATGACCTTCGACCCCCCCTCCCTCCCTTCGTTACCCCCCTCCAGCGCTTGTTCGACGGCTCTGAGCCCCCGCTGCCCCCTCCTCCCTTTTCCCCATCGTTCCCAGCCAACAACCTGCGATTTTTCTCCTTTTCTCCCCCCTCCTCCGCCTCCCTCAGCCCGGAGCTGGCGCTGTTTTATGAACTGAGTCCCTTTTATTTTACAAACGCTCACAAATCACACTGCACCAACACAACCCCCCCTCCCCAACCCCCCCCCCCCCCCCCCCCCCGTCCTTACCCACTGCAATATTTATCACCCAACCATGAAACATGAACATCTCCGTATCCCACCGTCCCCCCTCCCCCGCCTCCATTGGCTGAACGGGGAAAATCAAATTATTTCGGATTCTGGCAGAAAAATAAGCGGGGGAAACGAGGATTTGGGGCGGTGTTGCTGCCTTTTTTTTTTTGTCCTGGGGGGGCTGAAGGGAGGGGGGGAAGGGGGGGAAGGAGAACCTGCAGTGCAAAATAACCAACAGGTTCCAACCGCAGCAAAGCAAAAGGGTTGAGGGGTAACATTTCTGCTGGGCAACGGGGCGCCGGCCCCCCCATGAGCGGCCACGCGCTTTTTGTGCCCGACGGGGCGGACTCCGCCTTTAAGGCCTATGGGGGGGGGGGGGGGGGGGGGGGGGGGGGAGGGGGGGGGGGGCGTGGCCGCGGCGGATTTCTTAATGGAGCGGCGGCGGCGCGGCGGCGGCGCATGCGCGCGCGGCTCCGATATGTTGGGGGGGTCGCGGGGCGGCGGGGCGCGGCGCGGTGCTTCCCCCGACGGCGGTGGCGGAGGTGGAGGCGGCGGCGGCGGCGGGGACGGCGGGGACGGCGACATCGCGGTATGACATGACGGCGCCTCTCGGCCTCCCCCCGCGTTGGCCCGACGGTTTGGCCTGCCGCTGCGAGGAACCCCCCCGGGAAAAAAACCGCATGGAAAGCTTAGGGCACTGCCGGGAGGTTCTCCCCCCGCCACCGGGGCTCGCCGTACCCACCGGAGCTCCGCCGGCGCCGCAGGGAGCAGCGTACGCCGAGCTGGCCGCCACGGAGCCCCCCCGGCAGTGCCCGTCGGGGGCGGCTTCCAGCGCTGCGCTGGGCTACGGGTACCCCTTCGGGGGGGGTTACTACGGCTGTCGCCTGTCCCACTCGCACGGGGTCAACCTGCAGCAGAAGCCCTGCGCGTATCACCCCGGCGAGAAGTACCCCGAGGCCGGGGGGCCGCTGCCCGGCGAAGAGCTGCCGTCGAGGCCGAAAGAATTCGCCTTTTATCCCGGTTTCGCCAGCTCCTACCAAGCGGTTCCCGGTTATTTGGACGTGTCGGTGGTCCCGGGGTTGGGGGCTCACCCCGAGCCTCGGCACGACGCTTTGCTTCCCATGGAAGGTTACCAGCACTGGGCTCTTTCGAATGGTTGGGACGGGCAAGTGTACTGCTCCAAAGAGCAATCGCAGTCGGCGCACCTTTGGAAATCTCCTTTTCCAGGTGAGTTACCCGGGAGCTGCGCGTGTCCCCGCGCGCGGATGAGTGTGCACGGACCTACAGAGATACATGTACGCCTCGATATATAATTAAAGGGAAAGAAACGGCTCTGGAATGCCTCCCGTGCAAGGCAATGTGTACGAACATGCAGGGAAAAAAAGGTGAAGCAATCATTTCTGAATCAAAATACACGCCGTGAGCTTGCTTGGAAAGTAACTTTGCCGTTTAAGCGCTTCCCTTTCTTCTTCTCTCCTCCCTCTCGTTGCCTCATCGCGGCGCGGCTCCGGCTGCTCTCCTCTTCATTTTCTTTAATTGCAGAAAGCTTAAAAAGGCCCCCAAAATAATAATAATAATAATAATTCCTTTTGAAGCGTCTGAGCCGAGTGAGGAGTGTCGGAGCCGGGACGGTAAATCGTATCGCAATTACGCCCAATTATAGGAATAGGTGTCAAGTGACAAATGAAGGTGTTCCGAGGGAGGGGGGGGGGCTTTCCAGCTTGACAGCAAAGCCCCCCCCTCGCTTCAGAGGGGTTTATCCAGCAAAGCACTATCCGACGGGGAGGGAAGTGATGGGGTGCGCTTCCTCCCGGTTCTCCTTGCACCCCCCCCCCGCCCCGTCCCACTGTGGGGAGAAGATGAGAA